ACATAAGTTTTCATCTACGTAAAACACATTGCGCTAACTTGTTTAGCCTTAGGCTAATGAGTCTTGTTGCTGCTGGGATGTTTACAACAGTTCACCTTACCTTAACTGGTATGTTTAGCTTTAGCTGTCCTCCGCGACGTCGTTATTTTATCAAAGGTGAAGCTTACACTTTTTTAAAAGGAATCATAACCGTATTAACAGTGTGGCATGGGTTTAATTGCATCGGTTGCACCTTGTTTTAGCTTGTTAGCTATCTTTGAAAGCTACATCGCCGCCTGGAAACAGAAATCACTCCAACGGCTTACTTCCTGTACAGCGGTGGTGCGTTTAACGAAACTCGGAGATTACAGCATTTATCGTTTTCTTTTGCTATATTAATCATCTGTTGTGTCACAATATCAGTTGTTTTTTTTGTTGATTCTCACTGCAAATTAATTTATTATATATTTTATTTATTTATTTATTTATTCATTCATTCATTTCATTTCAGTTAAAACAAGACTTATTCCATACAAATATATATAGCTATATAATTTGAAAAGCAAAAGTCAAACACTTGAGACAAATTGTTCACTGCAGTTTATTTAACTTTTAACTGTTTCTCCTTCGTGAGTAAATGATGTAAACAACAAATCGAACAAACGAAAATGAATAAAGCAGAACAAGAACATTTCATCTCAAGAAGTCAAATACTGGTAGTTTACCCTAATTTTTAAAAATCCATTTTGTAAACAATGTATTTTGGTGGAGTCCTGGACAATCTAAAATATGTGCATATCAATGGCGTGAGATCTTGCACATATTTGTTCTAAGGCACAAGACCTTTGTCTAGCACACATATTTGATGTGACTATAAACAAAAAATGCATTGATTTGCATATTTTGCACTTTTGGCAAATACCTAACATTACAAGATTGAATAGTGTTTGCAAACATTAGTTTCTTGTGTAAAAAAAACAAACACTTAAATGCTTATTTGAAGTAGTTTTAACAAAATCACTTTACAGACAGACAGACTCATTGAAAACTATAAAATAAAACATTAAAGGTTGTTCTGAAATAAATCAAATGGTACCATTTTAAGAGTTTACTTCAGTAGTTTTCCAGATATATTGAAATACAATTCTGAAATGTGGGCATGCATTCAATGTAAACAAAGCCATTTTACCTGCATACTGTCAAAGGGGAGCATGAATACAAACACGATATGAAATCAAAATAGTCACATTCACGATCCCAAACGGCTATCCATGGATTGTCGTCATTGTTTAACTATTTTCAGTCTCTTTGGCTGGTTTTATACCTAAACAAACACATGCATAGTAGTAGGCATCCAGTGACATATTTTGCATTGTTTTTATTATTCTTTGTGTTGGTATTTTTTTGCAGTACAGCATTTTTGTGCAGTCTTGTTCGCAGTTTATTTATAATTAAATTGACATTATTTACATGCAACATTAGGTCTTAAAGTCAAAAAGCTTACGCATTAGTTTTTATCTCCTGTCACTTGTAGCAGAGAGTTGTAAAAGTCTGGTAAATGCAATTATAAACCAATCTTTTTTTTTGTTTTGTGTCACTTTATTGCACATATATTTGTCTGCTGACTTGATGACTCGCCAGAGACACGTCAACCGTTTATGTCTTCCTTAAAGTCACGCAAACGTCGGAAAACAAAAATAATCTCGTCACAAATTAATCATACGCGCAATGCGAACAAAAATAAAGTAAAGCAGTTTACGAACACGTACACAATTCGATATCTTGGAATTTGTCTTGTGTGGTCTACGCATGCGCACAAAGCGCTGTACGCGATGGCGAAATTCCTGGCGTTTAATATTCGAGGGCTGGATGGAAAGTTAGCTCGATAAAACTAGCAGCTAGGGCAAAATTGTCGGCACGGGTGTCGTCGCTGTCTTTGGCTGGTTACCCTGACCTGTTTTGTGGTTTAGTTAAACGAAACATCGGCGTTTTTTTGCTCCCGACAAAAGCACACCATCCTCTCGCTAACTATTTGCGCGGTAGCATCAGGAAGCTAATGCTAGCATGCCACACTTTGCCTTTTCTTGTGTTTATCCGGGTAGCTAGCGAGATATCAATCTCAGCTGTTGCAGAAGGGTAGCTGGTCTTCGTGGCTTGCTGATAATAAAGATTTCAGGAAGAGCTGCGTAGAAACTATCAGTGTGTGCATCGGCGTGTCAGTCAAGACTTCTGCTGTGCCAACAGACTGAGTAAGTAAGACTAGCGCAACCATTCTTCACGGTCAATAATGTATTATCTCTGCCTCTTTAAGGAACTCAAATTGATTCCAAAGCTAATATGTGGAAAATTGCTGACTGAAAGCTTTTTATCAGAGTTAGATAATGGACTGCTGCTGTGACATGACGCTGAATAGACACCTGTAGCCAGAGTAAACAGTTTTTTTTAGCTAGCCGCAAGGGAGCTAAAACTAAGAGGGAGTCAACATGGAACTCAATTTCTGGATATGAATTTTAGTGTTATTCATGTGTAAGTGATATATGTGTATAGAAAACTATAATGCAAGTCAAACAAATATTTTGTCATTGCAAAGTCAGTGGGCAACACTAGTTTAAACTTCACTCATTTTGGCCAGCTGTTAGCCTGTTTGTGTGGCAAAGGGGAAAAATAACTCCAGGTGTTGCAGCTCAATCTGTACATTAAATTGGGGCTCAAACTTCAAGTAATAGTTATGTTATTTCTATACTCTAATAGAGCTGAGACCATGTTGTTCCCTCCAGTGTTCCTTTGGCTGGGGTTAAATTCATAGCAGTTTGTGGTTAAACTTAAAAAGGTTCCAGAATTATGACTCAATCACTTAAAAGAGGCAACCGAAACTGTAATCGTAACCGAAAACCAGCTGTGTTCTTGTGGGCTGCTCTTTCAGCCACAAACAAATATGTTGCATAGCCAAGGCAACAACAGATGACAGTAAAATTTTAATCTAGAAAGTTGTTTTTATTGTGTGCTGCAGCACTTTGGTTTTTGTATATTGCAGCCACAAAATAAGAATGTGACATTTGAGTCAGCTGGCGTTTTCCACCGGCTTTGTATTTTATTTTTTTTATAGAGGGTGGCGGTAACTCCTGCTTTAAACATTTACAGCCAGGTCTTTGTTTTCAGTGAGGACACAGGAGCAACGAAAAACATACCTACGTCATTTGTTAACACAACCAACCTGTTACTCATGAAAGTATTAATCAACAGGAAGTACAAAACACTTCAGAAGTTCACACTCACCCCAATCAGGTGACCTAACATTTGCAAAATAAATATGGAACATGAGTGGCCTTTCCTACGGGAGATTAGAATGTGTTCTTGACGTTAGCAGTTGAGTGAAATGTGGGTGGCTGGGGAGAAATACAAAAGATAAGTGGCTCAATTTTGGGATTCCCTTATGTTTCTTTCATTTTACTGACCTCTGGGTAGCTGCTATGAGTGTGGTCTTTACAAACCAATTTAAACTTGCACATTGTTTTATTAGATTACTCCCAACTGGTTACAGTAAATGACTTGGTGGCCTAAGCGCAAACACATGAAGACTGCATGTCATCCACTTGCATTACTAGGCTAATTTCACGTCACTCCTGCTCTAAGACAGTGGCTTCCTCAAATCTAGTTCATTGACCATCAGACTGTAAACTGACTTTATTTAAGCATAAGGAGGGGAGGGGCTAAAGCTAACAGATAAGCCAGATCACAGGGCTTTGCAGACGCATGCGCTGCAGAGTAATTAGGTTCAAGGACATGTTACACTCCTTCCATGGTGTTTATTTTATTCATTATTAATTTTTTGTCAAATACACACTTATTCATTGTATATTTTTCCTTCACAAGTTCTCATTGTGGCACTTTAGTCCTACTTTTCTGTACATAAAGCATTTTCAGCTTTGATGTACCCATATTACAAGTTTATTTTTTATTCAGCTTTATTGCTCGTATTTTTTTTTATTGTCTTATTAATAGTTTGTTCATAAAACTGTGACTCTT